GATCCTAAGGTCAATGTTTTTGGCCTTGTTTGTGTGATCTTAAGGTCAATGTTTTTGGCCTTGTTTGTGTGATCCTTGGATCAATGTTTTTGCCTTGTTTGTGTGATCCTAAGGTCAATGTTTTTGGCCTTGTTTATGTTATCCTAAGGTCAATGTTTTTGGCCTAGTTTGTGTGATTCTTGTATCAATGTTTTTGGCCTTGTTTCTGTGATCCTAAGGTCAATGTTTTTGGCCTAGTTTGTGTGATTCTTGGGTCAATGTTTTTGGCCTTGTTTCTGTGATCCTAAGGTCAATGTTTTTGGCTTTATTTGTGTGATCCTAAGGTCAATATTGTTGGCCTTGTTTGTGTGATCCTTGGATCAATGTTTTTGCCTTGTTTGTGTGATCCTAAGTTCAATGTTTTTGGCCTTGTTTGTGTGATCCTAAGGTCAATGTTTTTGGCCCTGTTTGTGTGATCCTAAGGTCAATGTTGTTGGCCTTGTTTGTTTGATCCTAAGATCAATGTTTTTGGCCTTGTTTGTGTGATCCTAAGGTCAATGTTTTTGGCCTTGTTTGTGTGATCCTAAGGTCAATGTTTTTGGCCTTGTTTATGTGATCATTGGATCAATATTTTTGGCCTTGTTTATGTGATCCTAAAAACAATGTGTTTGGCCTTGTTTCTGTGATCCTAAGATCAATGTTTTTGGCCTTGTTTGTGTGATCCTAAGGTCAAAGATTTTGGCCTTGTTTGTGTGATCCTAAGGTCAATGTTTTTGGCCTAGTTTGTGTGATCCTTGGATCAATGTTTTTGGCCTTGTTTCTGTGATCCTAAGATCAATGTTTTTGGCCTTGTTTCTGTGATCCTAAGGTTAATGTTTTTAGCTTTGTTTGAGTGATCCTAAGGTCAATGTTGTTGGCCTTGTTTGTTTGATCCTTGGATCAATGTTTTTGGCCTTGTTTGTGTGATCGTAAGGTCAATGTTTTTGGCCTTGTTTATGTGATCCTTAGGTCAATGTTTTTGGCCTTGTTTCTGTGATCCTAAGGTCAATGTTTATGGCCTTGTTTTTGTGATCCTAAGGTCAATGTTTTTGGCCTTGTTTCTGTGATCCTAAGGTTAATGTTTTTGGCTTTGTTTGTGTGATCCTAAGGTCAATGTTGTTGGCCTTGTTTGTTTGATCCTAAGGTCAATGTTTTTGGCCTTGTTTATGTGATCCTAAGGTCAATGTTTTTGGCCTTGTTTGTGTGATCCTAAGGTCAATGTTTTCGTTTATGCTCATCAGTGTGCTTTGTGGTTTCGTCTTCACTTTCCCGGTAGTTAACTATGATGACGTGACATTACTCGGATATTTCCTAGACTTACATGGCAGAACGCACTTTCGCCCCTTTCATCCTAAACATTGTTCGAAGATCTCCCTGTACATTTTTCATGTTTTGCCCTAGTTAGATCGATTTCGAGTTCGAGCTTGGGTTTTGTATATTGTAAGAAGCTTGACGTTATCATATGATTGAAATATCAAAGAGATATTATGTGAGATATGATGTGATCATTTGTTATTTCTTATGGAGAAAATGGGTCCATTTTTAAATATTAATAAACGATTAGCGGGAAATAAGCAATACGTATTATACCAATGGCGAATTCAATAAACTAATGCATGCCATGGTAGTCTAACAATGAATTTAAAATAAGGAAGTATTTACATGCTCACAGTGTATATTGATAGGTTTATAAAAGGTTCTGTATTGTAAAGTTAACGACAGTATATGGCGTCAGTGAGGAAAACAGACGTAGCTGGTCTGTAACATAGAATTTTAGACTGCTTCGCTAGGATAGACTGTTTGATGTTTAATGGCTTTTGATAAACCCTAATTACATAATCATTCCTCAAACAGATAATATGCTTTGCATTCTGAAAAAAGGGCCTTACGTTAGTTCAATCAATATGGAGCTTAATTCTTATTTTGTCTGAATATTCTTATTTTATCATTCATGTATTCTTCCTAACCATATGGTTCGACAGGGAATTGGTTTGATATTGCAATAACATCGATACAAACATAATAACAAGTTATATTTAAATATCACAGGCTTTGCATTATTAAAGACATAAAAGTTGGTAGAACGTAACAATGATGTCTGTATCAGAAATGTTTAAGACTCCAATACAGAACATTACTGGTCATGAAATTCTGATATAACAATGAAAACAAGTAACATTACAAATAGATGCCTTTTTGGCTTTGTTGCAGTGTATGTTTGTTTCACATAGAACATATGAGTTCCAGCCAAGTCCTAACGTAGTTCTGAATGATATGATATGCTATAACACAGAAAACGAATCGAGATACGAGGTAAAGCGTTGAGATGTATAAGATTATATTTGATATTAAATAGTACTTTTCAAGTAAACATGATTAGTATTGTTGTGATCCCATGGTTTTGTCCTTTTCCCCGTTTTGTTGGTGTGTGTTGGGGGTATCCTATTGATCTTTGCGCTCGTATGTCTTCTTGTCAGGTGAGAATACTGAACTTCTTTTACCTAAAATAACTAAAATTAAACTAAGTAATTTAAATGGAATTTAGGTACAAACAATTTTGTTTAAATTACTGTTCTTCCACAATTTTTTATGTAGGTTATAATCACCATCGATGTAGAAGGTCGATGTATCTTAGCATATTAAAGAAGGGAAAATGAATTTGCTTTATATCGATAGAAATAAGCATATGAACGTTAATATATATGATTTTACATTCTTTCGTTTATACGTTTTGATATTAAACAAATACTCTTGGTAATTCGCTATGTTCTATTATTTCCTATTAGGTTGTGATTCAGAAGTATCCGTTTTGTGTCTATCACGCATCACGTCATACCATCAGACTGCACGTCACAAGATATAAAACAAATCTTCCCCTGGAATGTACAAAAATTATTTTTTGCTTTTTAATCTCTATTATTCTTGTGGTAAACTGTGACTGGTGACTCTACGCAAGATAAACGGGTTGTGCAAACATGTTCGAATGCAGAAAAAACGGCTCTATATTAGGTTTTACATAAAACATTAGACCCGCATGGTAAGGGTAGGTCGGTATTCGATTTACAAGTCGTGTAACCACTTATAAATCAGAACTATACATTATGACGAACCAATGGACCCCAAACACTTATATCATAATTAATTTAACTTCTAAAGATGGATCGAAGAAAGGTTAAGCTCTGTATATACAATAGACAAAGGGAAATGATTGGGGTTGGAGATTGATGGCCAGGTTCGTGTTACACTAGCGGGCATTTTATCCTAACATGTATTTGGCTGGTGAAAGAAGTCGAGATTGAATGTAAACACCGTTGGTTACAATCTTATCACTGACGGTCCGTGTACACGGTTTGATAAAGTGAATATATACACGGTAAACTATGTAAAGACAACACAATCACTTGGACGTAAGCCTTTCCATGTGTCACGTCTTATTGTAGAGCTCGGGCCAATCAATTACACATGGACACACGAACACTTCGATTATCCTGACTACGTAATCTAGTCATTAACGCCTCCCTGTTATAGCACTGTTGACATAGCTAAGTTGAATTGTTCCGGTGATAATTAATTAGATTACGTAAACGTGGAAGTAAATATATTCGTGCTAGGGACAGGGCCACACACATGACATAGAACTTGTATGAAATACTTATTGATTTTTAATTAAGTGCTCGGCTTTCGTCACGAAACAGGACATCAGAAGGATCGCTCTTCCATCAGTATTGGCATGTTCTAATAGCATGCTCAATCATGTGGGATATATGATTTCCTTAAAAAAAACATGCATTCTATCACTTTGAAAGTAGATCAAACTAAACAGACATTCTGACGACACTTTGTATTGTATACTAAATAGTAAACAAATAGTTCTTATATTCCTTAAAAGTTGTTTAGAGGATATTGTCAAATCACCCGAATATCTCTTTTTGTCATTGATATAATATGTAAGATATCTAATATAATGTGAAATCTCGTCACTATATAAGATACCTTATATAGGAACGATAGTTTAACAAAAAATTGAACCAAGTCTCCCCAACCGGAATCTCTCGAGGATCTAGTACTAGAAAAGGCAATAGGCTTGCTATCAACGCGTGGCCCTGTCGCCATAATTTCGGAGCCCACCTCAAGGGTGCGTTAAATGGCAACCTCTGGAAGACGTGCTTCGAAAGCTTCTCCGGGGGAAAAATTAGTTCCCCATTTTTAATGCCACGAAATCCCATTCTATATAGATATATCATATAGTAACGAGATTTCAATTATATCAGATTTCTTGTATAGTATTTGAGATATCTTATATAACAGATAAGATATCTTATATAATAGATAAGATATCTTATATACTTAATTAAGATATCTCATTTAATTTCTATATGAGATATCTCATACAGTATAAAAGATATCTTTTATATTGAATAACAGAAAATTAAATGACATATCTTATACACAGAATATGAGATATATTATATAGCATTTCATTTAATTTCTAAATAAAATATCTTATATTGTTTTATGAAATTCGGAATCGACATTGCTCCTTGAATAAATGTTAAGTTGTCATCATTTTGGGATCTATGTACCACTGCCAAAAACTGTAACATACACATTGGAAACTTTTTTTCCTGGCAAGATGATACCTTCGAAAAATCATTTCTGTAAACAAAACAATAATTAAGATTAATTGAAAAAAACATAATCAAAAAGAGTTATACGTGTAAAAACAATTCACAGGGGCTAGACCGGGATTCGAACCCTGGACTTCAAATTGTTATATATTCTCTTCTAGCCGGCTGAGCCACCTAGTCAATAAAAGTTTCCTGGTCCAAACTATGATACAAAATTATATTTAAGACGAAATATAGGGGAGGCTACTGCGTAAACAATTTGGGAAAAAACCCAGTGTAGCGGGAAGAGGAACTTTTAATATCTAAATATAAGCCTCTGGTGTTGTAAGAAATATATATGCTACTTTTCTTCAGCAATCCACGTGGTGTCGCTCTTAGTGTCCGCTTGGGGAATCCCCATCATCACTTGGACTCCAGTCGGAGAGGAGTACTTCCAGTCCCACGAAATAACCACACTCATCTCTACCTTTGGAACATATCAGAATTTCACACGGTCTCTCGCAACGGTCCTGTTACAGCATTCTTGGAAAAATATAGGTAAGAAGGGTAAAAAAGTACAATGTCACGTTTAAAAATTATGTCCTGGTTTTCCGAATATTTTCATTGAGAGAGTACATAGTAAAGCCTATCAATGCGTAATATAGAGCATATTTTATAATGATTTTATATAATATATTTGAATTCTTTATACGATGGTAGAATTCCCTTCTCCCGTATATTTAAATACTGAACGGCTCTTTTCTCCCGCATCTTACTTCATGGAATTTGGTAAAAAAATCAACCTTGACATTGCGAAAGCAACGAGAACTATAGCAGATTTTTCTACATATCGTAAAGTTATCAATAACTTCTTTGAAGAAAACCCCCCAGAAAATTATCTATCCTCACCGCGAGCTCTATTTCTTTCCATGGAGCGATGTCTATTGCTACTGATTAAAAAGACAGTTAAATTGCGTAAGGCAGACGGCAGGAAACTACATATTTTAACTCAAACTATTTTGTATAGTGGGCTAGCGATTTTTTTCATATCCGGTGACGCGAGATAAGATTTAGCCATGTAAGATAACCTTGCTCACGACTGTTATACAAACTGATCACAATGCGTATTAATACAGTTACAAAGTAACTCTAGTGGACTAGTGTAGGGTGAAATACCACATCCATATTCAACTCCGTTATCAACAAAAGCTATTTTACTCTTTCATTCAAATCTCTTTTGAACCCGTTTTGTTTTCTGTATAATGCTTCAGTTTCAATATGAAGTTACGATCTTGGATTGAAATATAGTAGAGATATAGAACATAGCTTCAACACGCAAAGAGATAAGAAAACATATTTTCAATCAGAAACGATAACAATCGGAACTGAAGAGACGCCAAGATGTCCAAAAAGTCCCTTCGCTTCTGACGAAAAAGAAAACAAAACAGATTAAGCAAGTAAAAACAAAAAACAAAACAAAGAAACAAATGAATAACTGAGAAGTAATTCTGAGGTGAAATTCTCCTGGATTTAACGGTCGTTAGGAGCACCACAGTAAGACACCTTCCACTGATCACTCCTCATTCTTATGTCGTATATCAACGATCGTAGGCTTGGTCGACTCTTTCCCATGGGAGACCCCAAAATGCCATGTTATTAAAAATGGATCTCCCCTCCTTTTCACCTTAAAGTCTATCTATTTGGCGTTCTTATAAAAGTTGTGATCTCACCATTCTGAATCAGTCTTATTGATATTTTTTCAGGTGTGATATACTTTGGGAACGAGGTATGTAAGAAAATATCCCATTATATTTCCACTGGATTCCCGGACAGCGACATCCTCATCCATCGGGTGGAGAAGTTAGATAACTTCACCAAACTGGAAATGAATAAGGCTATCAATAACGTCAAGGACCAAGTGGCAAGTAAGTCAATAGTCTCTGTCACGGTGGTATATTGGCATGTGCCGGAAACGATCCCTGGTGAATCGAAAAACTATTTTTTTAATCTAAATTTTGCTTATTAGAATAACATCTTCTAAACTGAAAGTAAAACGACAAGTTATTGTATTGTATATTTTCAAACTGTTGAGAGAACTGTTCGACTAAATATAAACAGATATAACACGACTTCCATATGATAATGACATTAATTGAAAGCTTCACAGTAGTCTCAAAGGGAAAAATTGACGAGTATGAGAAATGGAAAATACAAATTAAAGCCCCCATGAATGTATTTATTATGAAATGAACCTCACAGCGATAAATACATTAAAAAGAGCAAGCATGGATGCTTTTAACAACACGGGAGTGATAGGGTGATAGGTATAAACTATAGGTGGCATGATATGTACATAATGAGATTGGTGAGTTGGGAAAATGAACTACTCAAAGCATTGTTACCATTAATTGAAAGAAGATCAAGTTAAGGTCGGTCATAGCGTTTATATAACAACCTATGTGTGCAGGTAGGCAGACATTCGAAGATTTTACCAAACCCATCAAATTCATCAAATATAGATAAACATAAAAAGCCTAAGATTCTAGACGTAAGTTTTATTAACATGGTTATATATTAGTGATTATCTATTGTCTCTTTATCGTCTACTAATATTTAATTGATCGCTACTGTTTTGATGTCTTACCTCTGGGTTTGACGTCTCCTCCGTTCCTTTCGTGGTTTGTTTTGACATTTAGTTCCATCTTGTCCCTATATGTAGACGCCTTGGTACAATTGACTATGCCTTGATATTGCAGTTATCATCCTTTGTGTACCGAGTGAGTTCCTACTGGACTTCCTACTGGTGTCTCAGGAGAACGGAATGGCCAGTGGTGATTACATGTTTATTTACTGTAAGTTTAACCCACTGATCAATTATCCAGCCATGATTAACGGCACACATAAAGATGAGATAGAAAAGATGATGGAATCAGTTCTCCACTTCGGCCCACAGACTATGATCAAATCGTCATATGTTAACAGGTTCGGAACCACAGCGAATAATACAGTAAGTGTCAAACACTATACACTATTCTTATAACTCGAATCATTTTTCCAATCATATCAGCCTTCATTTTTTCTTACACCATCTCCAATATGAACTGTTTATTCATTCCATATGCATTTCGTTTCACCTTTTATTTATATAAACATATTTTATTGCCCTTTTTTACATAAAAGTGGAATTGGTATGTAAAAAGGCAATACAATTTGTTTCACCTTAGACATCTTATAAACGGGCTATATCTATGTGATGGTTAAACAAACTATTTCATCCACGTGTAGATAACACATTGGGAAGACCTTTACTAGGTCATCTCCAGGTCGTTGCTAAGGTTGACATATTAATGCTTATCCCGCCATAGTGCATATAATAGTGCTGTCGTGGTTGTTTCCCTTGACATTCTTGGGTTAAAAATGGATTCATTGAACGAAAGCTTTTTAAATAGGATACATAGACTAATGATGATTCGTTACCACGTTATACATCTTTTCAATTGTATCGTAACAGTGAAATCGTAAAATAAACGTAAATTGAATAAATTATATATAAATAAAAATTGAACCAATTAGATAAATATGGAAACCATCCATCCAACGCTTGTAGGACAAAGAATGTAATAGTTGTGATATCAGTATGATTTTGTCCCTTGCTGATTGCATCACACTATTATTTTACCACCCTTTTGATATGTATGCACTCCTTTTCAGATTGATGACTTTGTGCTCTATTTGTATGACGCTGTGGTGATGTTTGCTACGTATTACAATACAACGATATCATCAAACCCTAACGCTACAGGCCTTGATATTGTTAATGAAATTAAAAGGATGGGCCAACATTACGTTGGTAAGTACAAAGGAATCTACAGCCTTATAAATATATATATTAAGTGATGACATGACAAAGTAATAAAGCAAAGTGACAAAACAGTCAGAAAACAAGACAAAGTAATAAATTGACAAAGCAAACAGATAAAAAGACAAAATAATTGAGTGACAAAATAATAAATTCAGAAAGACCATGGAATTCAGTGACAAAGCAACAGGTAAATACAACGCTATAATGTTACACGCTTTTTCAGAGAAGCAATCCGATCAAATTGTTAGTCATTCAAATGAATGAAAAATTAAAAAAAATTAAAAAAAAAAATAACATAAACATGATTTTAAATTACAATTATGTCGTGTTCTTTGTTTCTCCAATATATCTTGTTGATATTAAACGTTTATTTTACAGGTAAATCTGGGAATTTCAAAATACAGAAAAAGGGGCAGGCAATGCGTATGTTTGGAATATATCATTACGAAAATAAAAAGTACGAAACTGTGGCAACGATTGAAAATGGTGCATACACTTCGTATAAAACTATAACCTGGCCTGGGGGACATCGACCGACGGATACACTTCCGAATACGTGTTCTTCGGCCTCGGGCTGTGACGATACAGGTAAACTCAGCTCGACTTGTACTGATTTTAAAACAAATGTTTAGCTACATTGAAATTTTAGCTTTCATATAGAATAGAGTGGGGTTTTTTAATATTCGCAAGAACTTCAGTAAAATAAAACATATTTGTATATATACATATCATATAGCATCAACGGACAAGGACAACATTGACGAAAGCGAAAGTCTTTCACGTAACGCATACCGCATCCTTTATCATCTAAAGCAGTGATCACATCATCACAAATTCAACATTGTGGGTGATGTTTAAAATGTTTCAATCGATGTTATGAGTTTACACGATAGAACTAGCAAGGTCCAAATTATAGTCCATGTATTATTGATAGTATTATAGAGTCCATTTATTGATGATATTGTTAGTTTATAATTTTGCATATAAAATAATATAATACTACACTAAATGGTTGTAAATCATATTTTCCATCTCAGTTGTTTTTAGTACTACAACAAAGGTGTTGGATTAAAAATGTGCTGCTTGGTTGTTTCAAACTTAATGTGATTGCAACATGACTGTATAAAAATACGTGTAATAGCAAATAAAACTTTAAATCGTTAATAAAAAGTGGTACATTTATACATCAGAATTAAGTAACGTTCACAAAATGAACGAATAGCATCATCCTCGATATCCAGGGGTTGCGCTCACTTTCGCTCTCTACACCCCTGGAATACGTCAAAGCAAATTGAAGGCTTGGTGTGTGCCACCTTATTGATAAGACAAGAAGACTAGTTCGATCCTTTTATGTACATCAAAAGAATCTCGCGGTCATGTAACGGTAAAAATTGACAGGCTTTGAAGTTGGGCGTCTCTTCTTTGTAATCTTCAAAGGACCGGTATCAGCCTAGTGATTGGTCAGGTTTTTTTTAACTGAGACCAATCAAACAGCTAACTTCGTGCCTGCAATTTTGCCATGACATATTCCAGGAGTGCAGAGAGCGAAAGTGAGCATAACCCCTGGGTATCGAGGATGGAGTAGCATATGCATATCGCATTAGACAAATGAAAAGTTAATATTAATAGTAATTATACAGTAAAACTGGATATATGGATATAGCTTAAACAATACATTTGGTATCCAACGGGTGAGAAATGTCAAATCAGGGTTGTTATCAATCCTGACCTACAGAAGTGTGATGTCATGACGTCAATGGTAACAGTATGGTGCGGCGTCCTATTATTTCTCCTGTAAATGCTCTTATTGACATCTGATAAAAAGTGTCGCGGAAAACAACTTACCTTCTGACTAAAGCAATACCGACTTCCATCCCTGTATAGCTCGATAATAGTTAACGATGTAGATAGTACTACTGTACGGTCTGGGGTCGTCCGTACCGGTAGCAAGCGGTACACGTAGGCCCCATGGAAACGTCATTATAAAATATAGCAGTGTTTCACCTTTCGCATTACTGTCGGTTATGTTCTGCCTGGTATAAATCTAGTCGTTACTTTGTTCATAAAATACAATTTTTAACAGGCTCTGTCCAGATTTAATCAGATTACTAGTGTAGGGTGAAATACCACATCCATATTCAACTCCGTTATCAACAAAAGCTATTTTACTCTTTCATTCAAATCTCTTTTGAACCCGTTTTTTTTCTGTATAATGCTTCAGTTTCAATATGAAGTAATGATCTTGGATTGAAATATAATAGAGATATACACCATAGCTTTAACACGCAAAGAGAAAAGAAAACATATTGTCAATCAGAAACGATAACAATCGGAACTGAAGAGACGCCAAGATGTCCAAAAAATCCCTTCGCTTCTAACGAAAAAGAAAAAGAAAGAAAAAAGCGACACGACAAAATAGAATATTAATAATATATGACAAAGAAACAATTCATTAAACCTTAAACAAAACATAAGCAAGTAAAAATATAAATAACAAAGAAACATATGAATAACTGAGAAATAATTCTGAGGTGAAAATTCTCCTGGAATTAACGGTCGTTAGGAGCACCACAGTTAGACACCTACCATTGATCACTCGTCATACATCTGTCATAACATCCCGTCCTTTCTTATGTCGTATATCAACGATCGTAGGCTTGGTCGACTCTTTCCCATGGGAGACCCCAAAATGCCATGTTATTAATGTTCGGTTTCCCATTTCGATCTGAGTAGTTTTGTTACATTTGAATGCATATCAGAATGTAATATAATATATGTTGATATCATACTGGTATATCCTGTTAATGGTTCTCTCTATAAAGGTTGGCTACTCCACCGGAACAGATGATTAGTCTTTTTAAAACTTATTCAGGAGGGGTCACGATATGTCAAATACGTTTCATTGGTCGATTCATTTGAGTCCAATTTATCATGTTGATGATACCTCTGAGCAGCGTCCGGATGAGATCCTTTTGATCTCCCGCACCATTCCATGTCGAAAGCAAACTTAAATTTAACCTCCAAATGCGGGTCTGTCTGACAACAAACTCGTGTAAATTATACAACAAAAGCAGTTACCAAAGACATGCAAGGTAAGTAAGAGATCAACATCACATGTCAGCTTGGAGACTGCTGTTTGAAATGCCATGTGTGTCCTTCAGAAATTCCTGACCATTTAAAGCTAGCGGAGTAGCCAACCTCTAATAATCATCAACATTGATAATCGACATCGTTTCAAATTTGGTTTGTTTGATTTGTTTGTGCCGTCATTTGGTTTAATGTGATAACATTAGTTTTTTGCTTTTATCTAATATTTGATTTTCATTTTCATGGGCTTTTCAATGACGTAATGGTAAATATTTGTCAAGGTATTACATACATTGTTTCATTTCTTTCATAACAATGGATCTGTTGATGTGCTTGTTTATATTTGCACCCTTTTAGGGTTAATGGCTTTGGGATAACTATCATACTAATACAAATCCCAATATATGATCATTCGTTCTATTATCGATCTGATTGGTTCATTCCTTCATTCTTTCTTTCTCTCATCAATATTTCATTCATTTATCCGTTCTTTCGTTCGTTCGCCCGTTCGTTCATTCATTCTTAAAAAATAAATTTTAGCTAACGAATTAATCAAATTATGTATGAATGAAATCCATGAATCACCGGTTCCTCATGAAAATGTGCATATTAATTGATCATATGTAGCGCTTGAATTCACACATACAAAATTGTGTAAGATTGAAACACAGTGTGATGTTTATATCAAACTCAATATTTTTCAGATAATACGGCCGCTATCGTCGCAGGCGCATGCGTGGGGACGATTCTCATCATTGGAGCAATATTAGTCCTCTTTGTCCTCTATAGGTAAAATATATTTTTAACCGTGTCATTTCTGGATATATCGACAATGTTGTTCGCTGTGTGGAATCAGTCGTATCAGTTCCACAATGAATTGAACATCACTGAAGTCTATCTCGATCTGTCTGGTTCCTAGTCCTATGATTATAAATGATTTTTGTACAGTTCCTAGACTGGAAAATATTGCTGAAGAAGTACATCATGAGCTAGTCAATAGTGTGAAAGTAATACAGGATTCTGAATGTTTATCCATTTACGTCTATAAACATTATCTTGCTTGTAGATTTTTTTTCAGATTTTTTTTTACATCTTACAATAATCGTGGGCCTATTTTGTAAATTTCTTTAATTTTTTACAATTATGAAAATGCCATTTATTCGTAGTATTTATTTATGTTGAAGTCTATTAACATGATCTTGCTTGTAGAGGTTTTTATCACTTTATTTAGATCTTGTAATTAACTTGCAACCTTTTTGAAAAGCCTTTTTAAAGTTTACATCCATGAATATGTCATTTATTCGTAGAGTTTAATAATGTTTAAGTCTATAAACATGCCACTTGTACGTAGAGTAATTAGATGTTTTCACTTATTTCTTATTTACATGCAAATGGCTTGTTGCAACATTGATTGCAAGGAGAGAAATGAGAGTTGACATGCATAGTATTCACAGGATGAACACTTTTGTAATACCGTTATTGTGGCGAAGCTTAGTATTTAGCAGACAACATTTAATGGCTGCCGTCGTCCGTACACCGTTCTCAATGAGAGTTGTAGTGATGACATTTTGATCGTAAAATAGTGTCTGGTTTGTAATTTTATGAGATGGTTTCAATGCTCTCCATTTCCTCTAATGAATTTATACTGTATAGCAATCTGTCATAAGTGTAAACTGTCACACCGCTCACTCCTAATCATTCATGAAATCAACGGAAATCTATTGATTTTTACAATGATCCCACAGACTGTAAAACAACATTACATAACGTACACTATGGATTATGTTTTATTGTAGAAATAATATAGAGTGTATAGAGTATATTAATATAAAGAGTAGGTAGCATAATGGATACAAACAATCTATTTCCATTTTTATGTATGGGATTTTTTTTTTAAGGTTTAATTCTAAATAATAATAATGAATAAGTTTCATGTGTTATAAAAGCACTTATAGTGGAAAGGGACTATTTGTAATATTTTCTCAATGTTAGTCAGTGCAGTTGATTCCATTACCCTTTTAGCTTATTCCATATATGTGAACAGTAGTAGTTCATGTTATGGTAGCAGTGTACAGTAGAAATGGCCCGACTCTGATAAACAAGGCACATGTCGAGGAAATGTTAACACAGCGGATTTACCCTACACAACACATGTCTACATGTACATATATTTGTAAACTGCATTACATTTACAATACATATAAAGTACTGAGAAGTGTATAAACCTCTTTTTTCTATGTATGTCACTTGTGTGAAAACCATGTTTACCACATCAAAAATTACCAAAAAATGCCAAAAATTGCTATTTTTAACCCAATATTTGACCCCCGCAACAAGTAATTTTTTTCCTAAGCTCTGTTTGAAATTAAAGATTACCTACCTGGTTGCAGAATTATCTGGGTCCCAGTAAAGTTGTAAAACTTGATTTTTTGCAATTTTGCATCGTGTGCTGTTGTCAAAATTTTACCTCCTGTAAAGCTAGCTTTTCATGTGTACGCACCCTTTCGTATTATGGCCAAAATTTTATTCTCGAACCAAAGAAATCTTCTTTCTTTTTTACAAATGTGAAGCTCACATAGCCCACTTCATCATGCTTATACAAATTTTAGTACAGTTTTATTTTTATATTTTTTTTACATATCATGATACAGGGGTTAGCCATTTAACAAAAATATCACCCATGGCCAGAACCCTCTACTGTATACTGCTACTGTTATGCATCTGGTGTCTTGGGATGCAAATAAAGCATTACTGTATGTGAAGAAATCAACCTGTAGCATGATTTATTTTGATTGATTCCGCAAGGAGTAGTTTGTAATGAACGGCAAGAGTTATTCTAAACATCGAAAAACAAATCCACGAAGTGCCACTTTTAGAGGCATTTAGTCGACGATATCGGTTTTCGACATTATATAATTAAGTATCAACTTAAGTAAAAGTATAGTAGTACTTCCTTAACTTATTAGCACTCAGTTTATGCTTAGAAATAAAACAATATAACATATTGACAGATCTGAAAGAATAGGTGCAAATGTGTCAATCCCGTAACGCATATTGAAGATGCTTATTATTGTCTTAGCATTCCCTGTTATAGAATATATGAGACGAAGAATCATGCAAACATGTTATTTAAAAAACCAAATCCTATACTACCTCCTATTTGTTCTAGGAAAAAGAAGTTCGAAAAAGAACTGATGGGGATGTTATGGAAGGTGAACGAGAATGAAGTCAAAATGCGTAAGGCCCGACCCGGTAATGGTACCGCTGCTCACTCTAATGGTGAACCAGAGGTCCACCAAAAGAAAAAGCTCGTAAGAATGGTAAGATAAAGCCAATATATCCTACACGATTGATACGCTGTCGACGTTATTGTCATACTAGTTAGACGTTGGCACGATTCTATTTGTTTTTAAAATGCGTTTTAAAAGCGAATCTAATAGACGAAACTTCTAAGATTTCAATTTGATTTGGGAAATCACACAATATATGAGCTTCTAAAACATGTCATGGAATAATGGAATAAAAATTGAGACAGTAAAAAAATGTAAAAAGAACGGGAGTAGTACACGTACTTAGCGTATTTATAGCCCTGTATCACTGTATGTCGTGGGATTACTCCTGCAGGAAACAAGAGGAACCCTGGGCTTCGGATCATCCTGTAGTTTAGACAAGAACCTTCTATACGCGCCAATAGGAAACTATAAAGTAAGTAAATTGAGTTTACATGACAAAAATAAGCTATAAATGTTAATTCATTTAATCAATTTCGTTAATAGGGTTCAGTTATGCATATAATTAATGTGTAAATACAAATCCCCTTTATTGAACGCAGTTTTCAATTCATATGCATATATCCATATATTCCCTTTTATAGGGCTGACTTAGCTATATATGTAATTCATGTGCATATTTATCACCTTAATAGAGCTCAACTTTATGTGCTGTTCAGAAACAAGTGTGTTGCTTCTTTCCTAGGGCTCAGTTGTAGCTGTGAAAAACATACAACGCAGATCTATCAGGTTAACACGAGAGGTATTGCGCGATTTGAAAACGGTAAGTAATCGTAGTTAGGTCGTCCCACCTGATAAACCTGTCAATAATTACCTTCAAAAGAAGAGAACAAAAGAGTCAAAATCCACGAAGACAGGTTGATAAAATATAGAAAATACAGTAAAGGGTGTTCTTAATAACTAGTTGATATACAATTGACCTGACATACAGGTAGAATTTACGGCGGCAGGATCTGCTGTATATAATTCAATATTAAACACTCCATTTATGTTGAATAAGAAATACACGACTAATATTACCTGATTAAGTTATCATTTTAAAAGAAATACACAACGATTTACAAAACATGAATACAGCTTGAATGTATTCTATTGTTGTCCAACAGTTACGGGAGCTACAACACGACAACCTCAATTCCTTTGTTGGTGCTAGTCTGGAGGCACAGAATACCTATATACTGACCCGCTATTGCTCAAAGGGAAGTCTCCAGGTAAGATGTAAGGTCGGGTTCTGTAATATTTATATTTAGCACATCCTGACATAATCACAACCACAATTACGCACAGTAAAAATGGTTTATGAAAATATAATTAATCTGTGAACAAAATCATGAATGGACATTGATATTTCATAAATGCGATTGAAAATACTGTATAAGTATAAATGATAAACCGTACCCATCAATCGCCTACTCCTTTTTTCTTTTGTACATTGACCTTATCTTGTTAAAACGTTATGTTTATGCCCGTGCGTCAATACGACTTATATGTTAGACTTAGCGTTTTGGTTAATTACTCTAACACTGAAAGTCAAACAATTATCTAAACTCATCCGAGGATATATTTTTGGAGCACTACATCACTTTTTTAAAGGTTATTCAATGTTATCTATAAGTCCTGCTTCTGAGTTTAGCTCCTTTTCTTAGGTTAGACTTTGAGTTTAACTCCTTTACTTTAGTTAGCCTTTGATTTTAACTCCTTTTCTTTGGTTAGATTTCACGTTTAGCTCCATTTCTTTTGCTTGACTTTGCGTTATACTACTTTTCTTTGGTTAGCCTTTGAGTCTAACTCCTTTCCTTTGGCTAGCCTTTCAGTTTAACTCCTTTTCTTTAGTTAGCTTTTGAGTTTAAATCCTTTTCTTTGGTTAGACTTCACGTTTAGCTCCATTTCTTTTGCTTGACTTTGAGTTTAGCTAAACTTCTATCAACGCAGGAGCATATGTCTTTTCAAAACATTCTTTTGTTTAACTATGATAAATGATAATGCCATACACTGTTACACGCTGTATGCTATATACTATACAATTATAGAGAAGGCACAAAGGAAAAGGTTATTTTATTGTCCCTGAAAGACAATGTTTTTCCATATCCTAAAGGTAAAATAAAAAGACCATTCCGCGTGTGCCCTATCTTTTATTGTTTTGTTAAACACAAATAAACCGAACCTGTGTACTACTTTCCGTTACATTGATTTCTGTAAACACGTGTCATTCGCCTTGGACAATATTCCTGGTTGAGGGAAGCCAAAACCTTGACAAAATGTGGTTGGTTAGTTATGGCAGGAACATTGCATCTAAAACTTTAGTCAGGTAAATTGAGCTAAAACTGTATGTTGCATCTGTTCCACAAGTTCGGTGTATAGGATGTGTACTCTGTTTAGACTGATTGTTGTTTACACCTTTACATGTTATTTTGTGTATTATCATATGCATGCCGTTTTAGACGGTTTGTTAAATGTATGCAGTTTAATCTGTTTTACTCTGTATCTTATATACACTATAGTTCGCTCCATATTGTGAATTGTATTGTATGGCGTGTATAGTTTGTAGTTTGTACACAGTTTTCATTACTGTTACACTACACTGTTGTATATTCTATACTGTATATATTGTTTTACAATGTATGTTATACACTGTTTTATACTTTATACTGTGTATATTGTCCTACAATGTATGTGTATGTTATACACTGTTTTATATTCTATACTATGTATATTATCTTACAATTTATGTTGTACACTATTTTATATTCTATCCTGTGTATATTATCTTACAATGTATGTTATACACTGTTTTACACTGTTGATTTTCAGGATGTATTGGAAAACGACGATATAAAGGTCGACTGGATGTTTAAAATGTCATTCGTTTTGGATTTAGCAAAAGTAAGCCGACTCCTGTGGTTCTATGTGAGAGTGAACATATATACTCAAGTAACACGGCATACCAACACAGAAAATCCAACATTTTTCCCGTATAAACTTCGTAAAATCAATGACTTCTTGATCTTATTAGTCTTAATAGAATGATCCATACAAAAAGATATATCAAACAACTTCCGAATCTCGACTGATACATACCTATATAGCTTAACACGTGCAGATCATTTATACTATATTAAATAAAATAATAGTTAGAGTAACATGTATCTCATCAATATGTTTTATGATCGTAAGTATATCCTTATGGCTAAAAATTAGTTTATCACTCATTGTTCGTACCCTAAAAGTTTACAATATTTGTATCACTCATTGAAGACATCCATGTGACCAGGAACTGTTTCTATAATAACCCTCAATGTACCCAAGTGTCTCAGTAGTTCTTAATTCTTAATGACCATTTCATAACACATAGACGTGCTTTAATTTTGATTGACGTATCCGGAAGCCCTAGAAGTATTTGTGAATACTTAAGTTGTTCTGCAGTACCACCTTATAATTAGTGTTGCTGGATATTTAGGGTATGGAGTTCCTCCATAAGAGTCCTCTGAGGTCCCACGGCAACCTGAAGTCGACCAACTGTGTGATCGACAGTAGGTGGGTGTTAAAGATCACAGACTACGGCGCCATCACCACTCAGCCTGAAGAACCAGACCAGGAGGAGGGCGAATCCGAGTACTACACCAGTAAGTACCACACTATACAGGTGCTGAACTACGTGTGCTGCTATTCGATTGTTGAATTTCCTTTTGAGCATGTATTCCACGTTAGAGTAACCAAGGAATCAGTTATTCCGTTAACAGGTTTGTGTCTACCTGTGAAACCTACACCAGTATAATACTATAAAGAATGCCTTCCCATTGTATTCTACATTTAAGGTATACAAAATCCCAGGACTATCTATAGAAACATGTGTACTATAAACCACCTATGATGTTACAGAACTGCTGTGGACGGCTCCCGAGTTGTTACGTCTACAGAAGCGGCCATCGAAAGGGTCACAGAAAGGCGACGTGTTCAGTTATGGCATAATACTTCAGGAGGTATTCCTGAGGGTAACCCCGTACTACTTCAACCGTGCCTCTACGTCAAAAGGTAGGATATGCTACGGTGCTTTTGACGACAGCCTCATTTCTATGTGATTGGCTGCGAGATGAGATTTTGTCATTGGATTTGACACTGTAGTAGTATCTGTTTTCCATATTGCTGTATGTATTACCAAATTTTAAAGGTGAAATCGCCTGTGTTTGTGTGTGTGTGTGTGTGTTACGTCCATCTTTCAAGATACAATGTGGTAGACTCTGCTGGTGGATTTCCTAGTTCCCGAGGTTAGCTGTAACCTTGATAACCACAGTTATTTGTTTTGAGTATTGACACGGTTCATAATATTCATGTTCACACTTTATCGATTATTTCATTTGAAATTACCAGTTCTGCTCTAAATATCTAAAGACTTAATTCAGTGGCTCTAAGCACCTGCCCCTTGTCTCAACACTAGCTTAAACATTTTAGATCTCTTTGGCTCTAGCAACAGCTGTATGATGCAGTGTAATTCACTTTTGGCATTCTGTATCTATTACCAAATTTTCAAGGTCAATTAGATGTGTGTGGATCATCTCTAATTTACTTATTCAACTCTGCGTCCAAGACATCGGGTATAAGCATTACTTAGACGTGCAAATAAAATTGCAGAGATGGGTCGAGGGCATTGTAAAACAAGTAATTAGTCAAACTTCGATACCAAACAAACAATGGTAAATAAAAGCTTCAGTCGAGACGGTAATTTGGAAATTTTTAAAACAATATTTTCAATTTTAAAACAATGCGGCTGTATATATTAAAAAAAATCGATGATTCAATTTGTACATTGAAAGATGAAAATGACACATCAAACAAATCAGGAAATGAAAATGGTTTGAATATGCGTTGTCTTTTGTTAATATTTAAAAACAAATGATTGGAACAATTTTCTTATTTCAGAGATTGTAAACAGAGTTCGTTATAACGAGACACCCCCGTACCGACCTAATATCCCCGACGACAGCGATCTACCGGACAAAGCCATGAGTCTGATGACGTTTTGTTGGCATGAACATCCGGAAAGCAGGCCCGATTTCCAACACGTCAGAAAGAGGCTCATCGATTTAAATGGGGGAAAGTATGTAATATTCTTCATCATTTTACTCCACTCTTAACCTAGTTATAATGCATCGATCATCACAGCTGTTGAATAGAAGGCTTGATAGAGCATGTACAATTACCAGGAGCATTTACCCCGGTGAATTCTTGACAGATATGTCAATCGTAAACGCAGTCAAACTTTGACTTTTGTCTTTGCGCTGAACACCCACTGTCATTAATGTACAATAACATTGAGTGCAGGAATGCTTTTAAAATCTTCCGCATCGCCTGATTTCCTCTTCGTTTATTTTCAAATGGGGATTAATGATGTTTTTCTTTTGTTTAAAAATAAGTCATCTTTTGCAATTAATTGTTTTTTTTTAAATTTTTGACGTAGTACAGGGTTTTATAGGCAAAATTTCCCTTTAGCTGTATTTCTACATATGTGTCAGAACAATTTACATTTGTATTTTCATATTTGACCTCTAGTAGCATTCATGACTCCCTAATAGACGACACGGTGCAAGAAAGATCTACTATTAAGTATTTCGAATACTTACATGTCTTAATGTCGTCTTTTCGTGTATAATTTGTTCTCCGATATTGTTATTGTGTGTTGAGGTTGTGGATGTTTCCATCACAGGAAGATGAACATCATGGATAACATGATTCACCTGTTGGAGGCGTACAGCAATAACCTGGAGGAGTTGGTCGCAAGCCGGACTGAGGAACTGGCTCAGGAGAAACAGAAGACCGACAAGCTTCTTTACAACATGCTACCACCGTATGTGTTTTCGTACATAGGAATAATTTCATTTCGGCTAAAATGCAAGGATAGTTTATCAACTAATCAAATCGACTTATTGAAACAAGGAAAAGAGTTCCAAATACATAACGTCATAGCATTAACACGGCATCATTACTCCGCACTCGATTTTTCCTATGTTGTTGTTGGGTTCCTGTTTTCAATAAATGAACCTTAGAACACACCCCTTTACGCTGTAATTTTAAAGTCAAAATTCAAAAACAATAGAATCTTAACAAGGAAAGTAAATTGAATGTGTGATATAAATGTGTGCAAGCATTAACTACAACAGAGCCTGTATGACTGTAGTGCTTACGTAAGCCTAATTATCCTGTTTCAGAATGGTGGCCGAGCAATTAAAGAGAGGGGAGTCCGTCCGTCCGGAGACGTTTGATGACGTATCCATCTTCTTCTCCGACATCGTCGGCTTCACCACCATAGCAAGCTCCAGTGAACCACTAGAGGTAGTACATCTTATTATCAAATCGTATTCCCGTTGTCAGTATAATGTGACCGGGTGGAGTGCTATGCTGGGTGCCTTCTCAGACATTGTCGGCTTCACCCCCATAGCAAGCTCCAGTGAACCACTAGAGGTAGTACATCTTATCATCAAATCGTATCCTGTTGACAGTATAATGTGACCGGGTGGAATGCTATGCTGGGTGCCTTCGGCGTGGTATTTCAGTTAGATAGCACTATAAAGTCGGCATCAGATTCTCACTATTACAAGGAGGCAAGCACTCCAACATTCCCCGTCTCCAGCTCACATAAACACATGCAGGCATACACAACACTTTGAGGCACGTCCTTAAATGGCCGTGGATGTTGATAGGTCGTTAAACAAACTAAACCAAAGCCAAACCATATATCACAGTGATGATATGTTTCATTATCGCCTTAATATACTTTATGATATGAGGTTTTCTTTTTTCCATCTAGATGAGGAACATTTAATTCTTGTTGTTTGTTTTTCTAGGTTGTCGATTTGCTCAATGATCTGTATACTACATTTGATGGAATCATAGCCAAGCACGATGTATATAAGGTATGTCACATAGAATAAGTTTATTATGCAAAGATATTTAAATGTAACTCAAATGGTTAAAATGGATAACACTTGGAAATATATAACAAATAATCCTTCGATTATTCTAGAAATTAATCAACTTTCAAACATGTCATTTGTTTGAAAACAAGAAGCTGTTTCACTTGATATATTGCAGGTGGAAACAATTGGAGACGCATATATGTGCGTCAGCGGCCTTCCTAGGAAAAATGGTAAACGGCATGCAGGAGAGATCGCCAACATGGCGCTCGACCTACTGAGCGCCGTGACTAACTTTCAGATCCGGCACTATCCTGAACGGAAGCTGCAGCTACGGATAGGTATGCACACAGGAGGATGTGCGGCGGGTGTTGTGGGTTCCACTATGCCCAGGTACTGTCTCTTCGGAGATACTGTCAACATGGCGTCTAGAATGGAGTCAAATGGCAAAGGTAGGACGCTAGGTTTGTTACTTACATTTGTTTTTTAAAGCCAACATCTGTCATACCACGAAAACCATTTAATATCAACAGCGGCTTGAATCGGTTCGTTCCTCCTCCTCCTAGAATTTCTTTGCGTTTGGCTACATTCCAAAAAAGTGGAAAATAAAATATCTGTATATGTTGCTTCAGTTATCTGTATTGACTCGGTTAAATAGACGCAAAAATGTCCATAGTTTTACAATATATATCTATACTTTAAATTTGGTAAATCAATGTCTTGCCTAGGATCCAGAATTTTAAGTCATCTGAAACAAAGTCTCAAGTGATCTATTGCGATCGCCTTTTGTCCGGCGTCGTGCGTCGTGCGTCCGTAAACAATTTTTATTTTCGACTTCTCCTCCAAAACCCCTGAACCAATTTCAATGAAATTTTGAGAAACCTTCCATGGCCAAAGGTCAACAAAAGGAGTGGCTGATTTGGTCCCCAGCCCCCAGGGGCCTGGGGGGGGCGGGGCCAAAAATGGTCAAATTGTCTAAAATTTCTTTTTCTCAAAACCCAGATATGGTGGATCAAATACTCTTCATAGATGGAAGGGTCTTAAGGTGCTTTACCAAAATTGTGAATTTCTTGACCCTGGGGTCTCACGTTTCCCCTGAGGAGGGGGTAAACTTTACTATAGTTTATATTGGGAAATCACATTTTGGACTAACATTTGTTTAATTGCAATTGGAAGTAATTCAATTTGGGTTAGCATTATCAGTACTGGATAGCAGTTTGATGGTATGCACATATCAGCCCTGATTGACCCCCAGAGGCTGATGGGTTGGCCAAAAAGGGTCGAATTGACTGAAATTTCAAAAATCTTCTTCTCAAGACCCAGATATGGTAGAATCAAATCCCCTTCATAGATGGAAGGGTTTAAGGTGCTCTACCGAAATTGTGACTTTTATTACCCTAAGTTCTCACGTTTACCCCTGGGGAGGGGGTAAACTTTACTATAGTTTATATAGGGAAATCACATTTTGGACCAACATTTGTTTAAGTTCCATTGGAATTAATTCAAACTTGGTTAGCATTATCAGTACTGGATAGCAGTTTGATGGTATGCACATATCAGCCGTGATTGACCCCCAGAGGCTGATGGGTTGGCCAAAAAGGGGCGAATTGACTGAAATTTCAAAAATCTTCTTCTCAAGACCCAGATATGGTAGAATCAAATACCCTTCATAGATGGAAGGGTTTAAGGTGCTCTACCGAAATTGTGAATTTTATTACCCTTAGTTCTCACGTTTACCCATGGGGAGGGGGTAAACTTTACTATAGTTTATATAGGGAAATCACATTTTGGACCAACATTTGTTTAAGTTCCATTGGAATTAATTCAAACTTGGTTAGCATTATCAGTACTGGATAGCAGTTTGATGGTATGCACATATCAGTCCTGATTGACCCCCAGCGGCTGATGGGTTGGCCAAAAAGGGTCGAATTGACTATCGTTTAATTGTGAATTATATAGTCCCCAGCACCAAGGGACCTGAGGGGCAGGGCCAAAAAGGGTCAAATTGACTAAAATTTGAAAATTCTTCTTCTCAAGATCCAGATATGGTAGAATCAAATACTCTTCATAAATGGAAGGGGTCTTAAGGTGCTTTACCAAAATTGGGAATTTTATGACCGTAGGTCTCACGTTTACCCCTGGGGAGGGGGTAAAATTTACTATAGTTTATATAGGGAATCAGTCAGTATTAGTGTAATAGGAAAAACTCTGCCCCATTCTCTACTCTATTGCTGCCCACTATCAAACATCTAATGTCCTCTTGCAGCCCTGCACATCCACGTCAGCTCAGCCATGAACTCTGTTTTGGAAGACCTAAAGTGGGGCTTTATTACCATAGAAAGGGGAATCATCGAGGTAAAGGTAAGCGTTTACGTAAAGGATGACACCAGTTCATTAACTACTGACATCAAATGAATTCAACAAACGGAAAGTATGTACTGCATAGTAATGGGTACTGTCGAAGTAATGTCAATTATACAAAAGTGAAAAAAGAGTACAATTTTAGGAAATTAATAATTATTTGTACACCAAAACATCAGCGTTAACATAAGAAAAGAAAAAAATGGTCATTTATCAAAACCCAAGAAACAACATTATAAATATAAAATAATATTAAATAGACTTGACTGGTGATGCGACTGTCGTTATTGTTCTTTCAGGGTAAAGGCCTACAAAAAACGTACTGGTTGATTGGGAAAAGGCGGTACAACAAGCCCCTACCCCAAGCCATCCTAGAGTGAGTACACCAACTAGGATAGGGTTTTACTTAACAGCAAGTCGTTGTCAGTTTACCAGATCATTTATAGATATTTCTTTATAAGAACATGAACATATACTTTTTCGTTAAAACTTCTTGTTGTCTCTCAAAGATTTCACCTATTTCCTTCTAATTTGTTTTGTAATATATTGTTAAGAGGAAAGTGCTTGGAAATACGTAATTCAAATTTTAAAAGAACACTTATTATTAAATATATAATTTGTTATACAGTCTACAGGCTAAATATCAGGATGCCATGGCGACCGGTCGAGCAGTGTCACCAACGGAATCCCATATATCGGCGGGAGAACACAGCGATAGCATGTACGGAAGAGCCTTCAGAAAGACGTCCATTGCCATCAGCTTCCTGTCCTCGCTCAGCCACGACGTAATGTCTCACAGGTCGCCATCGGAAGTGACTGTTCGGGACCTCGCGTTATCATGCGATAGTTTACGAGAACGCCGTCCAAGCAATGACACAATACTTTCAACAGATTCTACACTGCCGGCATCCTCACCGGAAATGACGTTAAAAAGAGACGTCGTGTCTCCGAAAACCCCTGACACATTATTTCCCGACTGTGCAAAACCCGAAAGGACGAGAAAAATGGCGTTTGATATACCAAAGATAGAAATATCTTAAGAAAGCGGGAAATTTTAATCTTTTATGCAAAACAATTTGTGGCAATTGCAGTGATTGTAATAGTGTTAGTATATACTTTATACAACGACCCTTGTCTTCCTGTGTACATATCACATGACCAATAGACTCCGCGAAGTGTAGACCAAGGTAATTGCCATGGTAACACTTTGTGTTATGTCTTTATACCAAAGCTTTGTGCTTAATATCTTATTTTAAATGTTTCAGTTGATATGCAATTTAGGTGGAGAAATAATTAACACATGGGATGTAACCGCCTGCGAGTTGTATACTTTATATATAATTTACTTTGACACTTTTTTAATCTTATCATATCCGTGACTTATTTCGTGTTTAGAAATATCGTTTCTGTGGTGAATTAATCAACAGCAATGTGTGAATGATCATACTTGCTTGAATCGTGATTATTTTGCATGTATGACCTTCTTCATTTGAGAGTAAAGTGTCATTCGTAAGATATTTAAGATATTACAGGATCTGTGCCGTTTATTGCTGCTTCCACAATTTCATTTTCCTGTGCAAGTTTTGGAGGAGCTTCAGCTGGTAATACAGACTGGTGCAGTGAAGGATACATGGTTTTGCAATTATTTTTGAACACAAGTCTTTCATTTGTATCAAATAGAAATTATTGCATTTATATCAAATGTTGCATTATTGAATGACAAACGCATTTCGATAAAACTAGTATGTATCCATTGTGTCGGTATTATTATAATATAGTAATGATTAGTTGATGTTGATTCCAAAGCAAAGTAACCTATAGGAAAATTGCAGTAAATTTGTGTATGCCAGTACAACAGAAATTACCTATTACCTCCCTTTTAGTATATTATGCCCAAACCAAACTTCTCTACGTTGCATGCACTTGGTTAAAAAAGAATTCAAAATGTTTGATATATCTAAAAGGAAACAATCCTTACATAGATTGGGTATTTTGGATACATTTTGAAAAAACGTTTAAAATAATATTAATCAATATTTTTATTATAAACCATAAAGTCTAACAATGAACTAGCAAGTGTTTGGTTGCGTTTCGATCACAATAGAAATTCGGTTGTATCTTGTTATAATTGTAAGGTTGTAATTTTTCCACGACTTTGGAAATGTCACAGGTTTCTTAGGTTCGTGACACTGACGATTCGGATAATCCTTAAAAAGCAAATAGAATTTCCATATACGTTATTTACAATAAATACCAGTAAAACACATGAACAAATTTGAAGTTGAATCGTTGTAAAAGAATGGAAATTGGTCACTATAACTCAGATTGATATATCTACCAACAAGTATATTATGCAACTTAGATTAATTAATTATGACATTTTTACATTGATGTACCCTTGGTAAAGATAAAGGGATTGTTATGCTCGTATTGTGTTGTGTGTGTATGTGTAAGGGAGTAAGACGCAGAATGTCCTGAAGACAGGCTTTATGCTAGATTCCTCACATATACTGCTAAGCATTAACAATACAATATAATACAGATACTGTATTTAGATATAGTATATACTTCCGGTTCATTATATCTTATTGAACAGAGCTTGAGTACAAAAGGAATTTGTCACGTACATACACATCATAGCTATATAGTACTTATATTTAAGTATTAAATTAAACATTATTTATGTTGATTTTTGGGCAATACGTCTACCAATCAGCTGAAACATTTATTCGGAGGTAGTCACAAACAGCATTCAGCTTGTCATAGTAACTGGTAGCGCAGAACAATCGTCATACACTCACACAGTCTGTGCTGGAACTAGTCGAGACATATGACAAACTAACCAAGAGTTGCGACAGCATTTGTTGGAAATCAGTTATGGTCAGATAAAAACGCCCAGTATCTCTACTATCAAACAGAGAACAAAAGAATTAAAGTAAACACTCTTCAACAAGAGCACCACATACAACTGTAGGGCTAGCACTTTGGTGGAAATCGAACAGATCTCAATTTAAATTTCTGGCAGAATGAATTTCTAAACTGATATTAAGGGTTTTTTGTTTCCTGTTTGTATGTTATTTTTTCTATGACGCAGATATTGTTACTGGAATGTTGTTATATCTAATGCCAAACGATCGACATGGAGGCACGGTAGTTCAGTGGTAGGACGCCGGGGTCGTGACCGATGGTTGCGGGTTCGAGTCACGGCACGGCACTGTGTTGTATCTTTGAGAAAGATACTTTACTCCGCTTGTTCCAGTCTACTCGGCTGTAAATGAGTACGTGGTTTGGCAGTTCTAGAATTGTAGAATGCTAGCTTTGAGCGCCGAAATGGCAGCACCGGCTGTATGCTCTCCAGTGAGTTGAGAATATTATTGTCTGGCTGCAAAGGCCTTATAACCACGGATAATAATTTGTGAACCGCTTTGAGACGACCTACGGACTAGGTTGTGATAAAGCGGTATATAAGAACCTCGAATTATTATTATTTTATTATTATGGTATTTCAGAAGCATTGCTTTATTTGATATTGCATAACAGAAAACTTCAATAATAAAGGCTAAGTTTGTTTTGAACACAAACAGGAGTTGAAAACTTATTTTACAAGCTTTCGAAAACATATGTTTCCTTTGTCAGGCAAAGAGTGGAAAAGACCGGATTTTCGACTTTAAACTTCTGAAAACAACCCACAAAAACGCAGTGTGTTGAATCAGTAAAGTCAGCTGTCAGAAAATATCGAGACATTTCGCCAAATAATATTCCAGTGAGTAGTGAGGGGGACGGGTAACATGTGCGGGCCCCGCCCCTAAGTGGGTCATAAAGATGACTCAGCTGTTG